AAACTGATACTATGAAACATGGAATGTTCTGCACATTATTCTCAAGATCAAGGCAGCTATCAACCTACCCTCTTCATCAGAATCTCACTGCTTTTCATATTTTGCTACTTTCCTAAATGCAACAAATATCTTACCACTGAATTCTACATGGTTGCTGTTCTCCCTGCTCCACAAATTCATGGAAAAATCTTGATCTCTTCCAGCACATTGCTCTTTGGGTAATAACATCTAGTCTACAATGACTCCCAGTGGCATTATTTTTCTGTTGTTCAGGTCCATTCACCAAAACCTCCCAATATGTCACTTTTCCAAACATGGTTAATCTTCCTACTACTACTTCGAATAGCACGATCTAGGGGTGATTCTTAGCTTTGCAGAAAGAATATGAGCTAGGCATTGCAGCAGCTGAGTTATGAAAATGTCCTCAACTTCTGCCTGTTGTTTTGGTTTATTTAATCATGTAAAACACTACCAGATAACTACTAGCAGTTACCTTTAGAATACTGTTAACACAGTAGAGAACTGAATGTCTTAGGTAAGCAGTTTCAGCAATAAGTATAGTGATCCTGCCTATTAATGTAGAGACAATCCACAGAGCTTTCACCACTCGTGCCAAGTGAATTACTCTGTATTGTTTTGGTAAACTCAGACTTAAGAACTTCATTATATAAATAAACAAAATAGATGACTGAAGTATGTAGCTACCAGGTTACACAACTGGGAAGTGGTAAACCAAAATTCATGTTCTACTAAGCCTCTCTTGGTGAAAACCTACACACAGTCCAAAAGTTACCGCGGACCGGATGGCAGAGGAAGACTGACATGCTGAAGACCGAGGTGGAGGAGCTCTCAGTCCGTCCTAACGCCTGCCAGAAGCAGAGTATTCAGAAATGAAAGTGCATTAAAATTGCCGAGGCTTATTGTTACACACCTGAATAGATCTTTATGATGCAACAACTTTCTGCTTTATATCACTAACAGTTTATTTACCTAAAGTTCTGAGAGATAAAAATACAGTTGGCCCTTCATATCTGTAAGTTTCACATCCACAGGTTTAACCAAACACAGACTGAAAATATTGAAAACAAAATGCATCCACACTGAACACAGACAGATTTTCCTTTTGGCATTACTTCCTAAATCATACAGTATAGCAAGTATTTATATATCATGTACATTGTAGCAGATATCTTACGTGATCTGCATATGATTCGAGTTATAAAGGAAGATGTGCACAGGCTATATGGTAATGCTATGTCATTTTAATTAAGAGACTTGGGTATCTTTGGACTTTGGTATCTATGGGGTGACGGGACCAGTCCTTTGGCTTGACTCTTTTTACCAAGCAGGCAGCTTCTCTTTGCAGTTTTCTAAGGAAGGCGCTCCATCTAGTGGATCAATTCAAATACTGCACAACAGATAGAAGTAGCAAGGTTAACATTCCTTACATTAAACTTTAAAAATGATTTCAGTCTCAGAGAAATGACGCTTGCTCTGGCTTGTATGGGGCTTCGCTTTTACCATTCTTTGCTTAAAAGGAAGACGACAAAGATTCTGTGCACAGAGATAAGAAGCATAATAGTACTTAGATATCTGCTGTATCTATGCAAGGCACTGATCACCACCCCACCAACAGATCAAAGTTGGCTTCACTCAGTGGAGTTAAAACCTGAAAACGAATATACAAGGATCCTTACTAGGCTTTAGGCAAAACTAGGTAGAATTTGAAGGCAGTGACTCCCTTCAATCAGTACATACTAAATGCTTATTCAAAAAAAAAAGTCTGCATACATGGAAAAGATTGATGAAAATTCATTATGTTTTCTTTGTGGGTGGCAAGGGCCCCAGTACTTGAGTCTTCTATTGATTGCCACAGGCCATTAGCATGGACCTGGATTAGAAGTGGAATATCTGGAAGATGGCAGAATAAGGTAAGGCCACATTTAAACAAAGAACATTAGCCAGGGTAAAGCAGAGAGGGCACATTCCAGGAGTAGGAGAGGACAGACTGATGGCAGAGGGCCACCTGGAGACTGACAGACATGGCAAATCAACGGAGACAGCGGGTTGCTGGTGCAGTGACCAGATAGCCCAGCAGTATTTAGTGAGCAGTGATCTGAATTCCGCCGGTGGCCAGAACTCCACCAGCAACCAAGTGGAAATGGAAGTTGACTGAGAGCTCAGTAGGTGAGCCCAGACAAAGAACTACCCGTCCTGCTGGTTCGTTTGATTTGACCAGGAGTAGAGACAGAGGAAACAGGAGGTGTGGGAACAGAGTGGATTTCACAGCATACACCACCCAGTAAAGCCACATTTGGTGACATCTTGTGTAGGGAGGCAAAGGCTATGGGGCAGAACTGTGCATGCACTGAGCTGGGAGGAAAAATCATTTCTGGCTCAATGAATTGCAATGATGTTGCTTCCTATGGATTTCACCCAAAACAGGTCTGGGTAGCTCCAGACCTAATGGCCAGCAGATCCAGAACTCCACGAGTGGCACATCAGGCGCTATTTTGTACACTGTGGTGCCAGTCTGTTCCAGACTGCAGGGAGCTGCACATGCACTGAGCTGGGAGTGAACTCACCTCCAGCACAGAGCACTGCACTGGTTCCACAGGGAAAATAATACAGACTTTGGCATCTTACAACTCAAAATAGGTCCCGGTGATCCTCAGACCTAATGGCCAGCAGGTTCCTGCAAGATCAGCACCACCACCAACCTAGCTATTTAGAACAGCTAGTATCTCCCTAACTCTGGGGACTTTTTGAACCAGAAGTTGGAGAAAGGTTGTACAGATAATGGTGCGGCCCCAGGAAAGGATCATAGGAGGGGGAGAGTGTTGAGCCAGGAATTGGCGCTACAAAGACCATGCTAGAAATTTAACATAAGAACCCCAGACCTGGAACTCACTGGAAGGAGTGGCACAAGTGACTGCAAACAAAGAACTGGGTACCAACCACAATCAGTAAAATCAAATTCTAGACATGTGGGTGACACAGTTTAGAAATCTGCCCCAAGGAGCAGAATCTGCTAACCAGAAGTACAATGACCAAGAGTAAAAGAAGAGACAAAGGCACGATGAATATTACTGAAGACTTCCTGCAAAGGAGCAAAAGCTTTTGAAGAAGATATCGAGAAAATGGGGGACACAGAATTCAAAACACTTCTTACAACAATAAGAAGCACATGCAGGAATTTAAAGAATCTGTCACACAGGAAATAGTCTGTTCAAAACCTGCCCTGCAAATGGTACTTAAAGATGTTCCCTTGACAGAGAACAGGAATAGTGCCCACCAAAATCAAAGGCAAATGTGAACAACATCCCAGTAAATAACAGAAGACTAAATCAATGAACGTCCCATTGCTAAATGACAGTACCAAATTACCACGTATTTATATCAATCCTGAATGTAAATGGCTTAAACTCATCAGTCAAACATGATGATTAGTAGAATGGATTAAAAAACAAAACCCATCTATTTGCCTATAGGAGATACATTTCATCAACAAAGATCAGCAGAAACTATATCTCATGGATTTTGATTTTTTTTGATTTTGTTTTCATTTCTTCAAAATACTTTTTTTTTTTCCTCAAAAGTAGCACCATTTTCTTCAAGAAGGTTCTTGATTTTCATTTCTTTAGCAACACACTGATCCTTCAGTAGCATGTTATTTAACTTAACGGCATTGTAAATTTCTGCTTTTCTTCCTGTTGTTGATTTTGTTGTGGCTTTTCACTTGAGGGGATGTATAGTGACTGTGTAGTGGACACTGTCACATCCACATGTGAGGACACAGTGCAGTGTGCATCTCTACTTGCACATCGAGGATGGGCCCCCTGTGAAACTGTTGGATGTGCCTTGACAATGGGATGCTGGACTCTGCACTGTCCATGCCTGCAGTGACGGACTTATGACTGTTTCTGAGGAACTGACTATACTGTTGTAATGATATGGGAACTCGGTCAGGGGGGAGACGGGGGTTTGGGGAGCGTGTAGAGAAAAGCCCAGGGCCTATGCATCTGTACCCTAAAATCATAATAACAATAAAGAAATGGAAAAAAAGAGGCAAACATTTTTGTAATTGGAAAAAAAAAAGAAGTAGAATATCTGGGACACAAACTGGCACCCAGTGGGACAGTGACGGCCCAGGTAGTGGCTTTACTGGCTATGCTGCAATGTCAGCCTCTGGTACAATAATTTTAATCAGGATTATTTTTGATTACTTCAAAGTCTCAATGTTTTAGAAAAGGAAGCTTAGCTCCAAAATGCATCAGTTTCCAAAGGGAAACTCAAAACTTCAAGTTCTGTTTATGTTTTTTTTTTTTTAACAAGCACTTACTAAATCCTACTTGGAATGGCTACTGATGGTACACACACACACACACACACACACACACACACACACACACACACACACACAATCCCATCTTGAGGAAATTCTATTAATTAAGTGACACAACAAACAAAAAAGAAGGAAAGAAAAAGTCAGGAAAAAGGACAAGAAACAAAGAAAGCAGGGACTTCAAATGCAAGCACATTAATAGCAGCAGCAAGATGTAATAACTCAGATTCTTCAACAATGGAAAGGTTAGAAACCCTGAGTGAACCTTGTACTTAAAACACAGAGGCGCCTGGGGCAATTAGCTCCACAATACCTCAGTGGTCCTTAAGAATAAACAAAGTTTTTGATGGATGCCCATGAGAATTTTTCCAGGAAATGTTAGGTAACTTTATCAAGAAAAACATACTTTTGAAATTGTCCCCAAAATGGTGATCAAAGGTGCACGCAAGATTATGGAAATACTTTGTTTTGGGAAATCTATTTATTTATAATCCTTCTGGGAAGTTTCTGGCAGAGGAATTGTTGGTAACAATCTGGGATGCTAAATGCCAATCAGATACGACCTCCCATGACGGGCCAATGGACGCCACGGTCAGTCCTGCGCAACAATCAGTGTGTATGGCTTTGAATGTGTTTAAAGGATGTGAGGACTTACCGCCCAGAAGAAACTGGCTTTAGCGAACCAGCATTTTCAAATAGCTGGGCCTTTGCTGCCACTCTGAAAAAAAACAATTGTGCAAACAATTTTTCTCATTGAAAATAATTCGACTCAAGGTGCCAATTTAGTATTCTCCCCTTCAAGGTAAAAAAAAAAAAAAAGAAGAAGCATCCTGAAAACTAGATCTGGATTTTAATTCTTCTAAGCTTTCCTGTGAACACTTTTTAATTCTTATCTCCAGCTCACGGAGTATCAGAGTATCAAAGTCTAAGGAAGCAACAGCTATCTTCCCTGGGGATTTTCAACAGTCTCATCCTTTTTAAACTTCAAACCAAGGGAACAATAAAGGGAAGGAACATTGTCTCTCACTGCGCTGCTGGCAGCATGTTACTGATGCCCGTGGAGCCTCGAGGAGAGAACAGAAAAGCTAAGCCAGGAGAACTGCTATTCCTTCTGATAGCTATGAAAAAACTGTACATTATCTCAGGCATTTGCTAAATATTTTGACCCATTTCCTGCAAACGGGTCAAGGCAAACTCTAAAAGTGTGGCCCGTAACTGTATCAGTAGACTCAAACTTCCACACTTCCGGCTGTTCTTTTTGATCACAGGTACTTCCCTACTGCTGTCTTAGCTATTCCTTGTTCTCTACCAGTCTGTACTTATCCATGAAGGGTCAAGAAGACAAGGCCCAGGATAGAGAGGAGACAAGAGCATCGTTCACAGGCTATGATGCAGCTGTATCTGCAATAAGAGAGCTGAGATCTGAGACTGACAGTCATTGTATGATAGTTATCGTAGCTTTCAAATGAAGGGGCTTCTAGTTTCAAAGTCATCATCATGTCCTTATCTTAAGCCATATCCCTGCTGCTAAGGAAACGTGCTTGAAGTGCCACTGCCTGAGATGGTCTTCACATCACACTTCAGAAGAACTACAGAGTCCTAAAGAAGGTGACTGTATTCACCCTATAGATGAGGCTCTTAGTGGGATTTCTAAGGGTTCTTTTGGACACACTCACCCCCTCTGCTTCCCTGTACTACAACAAAGTCCAATTTTCACTTACACTGAGCCAGGTCGCTGATAACCATTGCTTGAAGCAGTGTCTAGCCTTAACCTCCTGAACATTTTTGGAGGCAAGTCTGGGTTTGGTGTGGCTTTGGGTGTCTCTTTGGAGCCTATGGAAGTTAAGCTTTGAATGGATCCACTGTAGCTCTTGTTTCCTTGAAAACAGAAAGAAAAAGCCCCAAGGAAATAGGTAAGGTGTTATTAGCCAAAATAATAGCAACACCAAAAAGGAATAACACAACAAAAGGAAGCATTTATCTTTCAGCCTAATAGAGAAGGTACAGAATGTTCTTTTGAGCACAGAAGCCCATCACTCAAGGATATCAAAATCCACAATAATTACAAGGGCAGTACCTCACAGAGATGGAAGGATTCGGGAAAAATGTCACAGCACACAGAAATTTTTAGACCCAAGCTCAGGAACAAGGAGATAAGCATCATTACCTTCTTCAACATTAGCCTGATCCGGGCCTACTCATGCTGCATAATTTCTCAAGTGACACTGAGACAGTGACCTCTTGCACAAGCCCTGCTCTGGCTTACCTTCCGCGGCAGAGATGGACCTGAGGGAGGACGCGGAGGCTCTCTTGAGCCCTGTCAGTCCATAGGGCCCTTTCTTGATGAGGTCTATGGGTGGGGAAGCATCCCCGGGGCTAGTGACTGACGCGACACTCTGGCAGTCGGATTCCACATCTGTTTTGGTTGCATCTTCTCTAGAACTTGACTCAGGACTGGTGGTCCAGAGACCAAGGCTCTTCTGTCCATTGGAAGATGACGGTGTTGCAATCCAGGGAATGCCTCCAGACTTCTCCCGGGGCTGGCAGGAAGCTGACTTGGTGGTGCTGTTCTGTTCAGAGGAGTGCGAGGAGAGAGACTCAATGCTACCCATGGGTGTGCTGTCGGGGCTGCTGCTATAGGAATCACCTTGGGAGATGCAGGAGTGACACACAAAAATCAAGTTATTAGTAGCTAACAGTGCTCCCAGAAAACCTGTTTTCAGTTTACCACGTGCTCACTGATACCGAGGCCTTTATCAGCTGTGAGCACTGACCTCAGGCCTGAATAGTGCGCATTCGAACTTGGCAGACACGGGGAGATTTTATACACACATATGACCTAACTGACCCTGTGTAAGAGCATTATTTCTTGAAGTATTAGTGAGCTGACCTGAGTTCAGATGTTTGGTTCTGAAACAGGGCTCAGAAATAAAAGAAGTAAGATTTACTGCAGATATTACAAGAAATCAATGAAAGGAGGTATATTAAAGACATGTTTCTGCCTTCCTTGGCCTTACTGATGACAGGTGATTCTGAGTTACAATGTACTTGGGTTCTTCCTCATTCAAAAGTGCCATTAAATATCTGCAGCAAATTATGAGTGGCTCAACATTTTCAAAGAAAGGATTTTTTCCCATTTTTTATGAAGAATACAGCAACAGAAGACACTGGCTATTAAACTGAGTTTTTTTTTTTTTTAAATAGTCCTAAAAGAAAGATACAAGTAAAGTCGAAGAAACTGTAATATTGTAGTCCGATGTATCTAAATTTAAAAATCACTAGATTGTATTTCCTATTAAAATATTATCTGTGGGAAAAAGTTGAGGACTTCAGAGGAATACAAAATAAATTGGGAAGGGCCAGTATGATGGCTTAGTAAGCTAATCCTTTGCCTGCAGTACCATTTGGGTGCCTGGTTGCCCATTTCAATTCAGCTCCCTGCCTGTGGCCTGGGAAAGCAGTGGAGGGTATCAGGTCCTTGGGTCTCTAGATCCACACAGGAAACCCAGAAAAGCTCCTGGCTTCGGATCAGCCATTTGGCCATTTGAGGAATGAAACAGGAAGGAAGTGCTTTCTTTCTTTCCTTCTCCTTCTCTCTCTGTAAATCTGCCTCTCAAATAAAAACGAATAAATATTTAATAATAAGACAAATAAAATAAAATGGTAACAAATACCCTGGATCTAAGCTGAGACTCACATAATTTTGGGGCTTTGTTCAGAATGACTTAATGGTGAGGTGCTGTGTCAGTTTTCCTTTTATTTCTTTTCTCTTTCAGACACTTTGATACCCAAGAGATGCTTTAAGAACATAATGTGAAAGAAAATGATGCTTCAGTCAGACTTCCTTTTGCTTTCTTCTCCTCCCCCTTGACAACAGCACAAAATCTCCTACCACACAGCACTCAATGTACTTAAGAACAGATGCAGAGAAAAGGGCATTCAGTAAACTATTTTTCCCCTTTGCAGTCAATAATGAATTTACTTGTCCATGAAACTTTCTTCCCAGTACGTGGATATACCACTAAGAAAAGTGGAGTTGCCGAGGAAAGAGAATTGATAAGAACATCTTCTAGCTCTGCCTAATTGCTGAAGAAGTGAGAGAACATTGAGTGACAGAATGAAGAACGCATCTTCCCACGGTGGGGCGCACTTACTGTCCGGCTCTGCCAGGCATGGGGTATACCTGCCCCTGGGCTTCCGAGAGCCTGTGGAGAGGCAGATGGCACGTGTCCTTCGGGATCCAGATCGAGACTGTGGCTGAGGAAGAGGAATGTTTGGGTCGGGGGCAGTGTGAAAAATCTACAAAGGAAGAAAAACGAGCTCAGGTCAAGAAGAGCATGAAATTGCCATTATCAGTGAAAAATAAGCTTTGAGAGCTACTGAATAATCTGAGAGCTTCACAAGATGCTTAATAACAAAACTCCTTTTCATTTACAATGTTTAGTGTTTCTTCTCTGGGTTTTCTTCATTGTCACTCACACTGCAGTAGTAATTCAGAGGGTCTTCCAATTCTAAGAAATATTTCCAATACAAGCCAATGCCCATGTCAAGACACACTGGGTTGCTTTTACTGTAATATTCTCTTTCCACCTTCATGCTCTGAAGGACGCAAGCCAAGGGCTAGTCGCTCCCTGTGGATTCTTTCTCCAGCTGCAGGACCCCTTGCTTCTCAGGAGCGGGTGTTGGTGTGTGGCTAGCTCTGAGCTGTCAGAGTATCACAGCTACAGATGGAGGGATAAGTGCAGCGACTGGATGCAGCCATGAGCTGGTGGGCTTCAACAGAACCTGCAAGCTTGGCCTGTCACCAGGACACCCTTCAGGGAGCACAAGGGAACTAGGAGAGGGCACGCTCTGTCTCTCACGACAGGACCAGATGAGTCACACGTGGAGTATGAACGGCTCAATTTGCTTTGCATCTCTATTTTGATTTTCACAGCTTCTCTTTTGCATAGTTATTTCTAGATCCCATTAAAAACTAAAACTAAAGAAAACACCTTAGGAAGACTTTGATAATCTATTTTCTAGTTTATTATTTTTTTCTACTTAGAATGCTATCTGTACTGCATAACTAAGAATCTCATTTCAGAAGAGTAGAAAGAAAAGCTCACAAGGATTCTCAAGTGTTCTCTGAATGTGAATGATGATTACAAAAATGCTAACAGAAAACCCTGACAAGTGAATGATGTAGAAGAAAAGCAAAAAATTACTCGAAGGATTTGAGGAAGCAGTTAGAAGCTGACATTTAGACACACACATTGAGCGCACCTTTTCATAGTGCTCTATCAGGATTTCAACCACAATATTCTGAAATTTAATATTCATCATGGCAGCCACAGTTTCTTCCTGTGCCCTCATTAGAGTTGGGCCAAAGATAACACCAAGATTTGAGACAGTCATGAGATTTTGTTGGCTGTGTAGTGATACTCTGCAGATAAAGAGAAACAGAAATATCTTTAAGTTCAATGTTTCAAGATTATAAAATATTTTCTATCCAATTCTTTACATTGGAAATGATAAATATACCTAATATTCACAGTCACTTTTAGCAATTCCCAAATGGCATAAAAAGGTATATTAGCCTAAGCAGATGCAAAAAGTTAACATTAGATAACATAGTAAGCACTTGGCTGGGCTTATCCATTCATGGAAAGACATTCTGACTTCCTAACGTGAGGGCAATTATCCTAAAGAGATGATTGGCTATTTGGCATTTTCTATGCTACTATGCCTTCCTTGAGGATATATAAATAATAATAGGCTGACTGCAATTATATTCTGACTCATCAAAATTATTGAGAAACTATTACCAGGCATTGCTTACTCAAATCCGTTATCCCTATTAGACATATTAAAAAACATACAAAAAAGCAAAACAACAAACAAACAACAACAAAAACCTCAGAAGCTTTTAAAGTAAAAATAATGATTTGAAGTCATGGCAAATTGGAGACAGAGGTGCTCTTTATTTTGTTTGTTTTAAGAAATAGTTTCATTTACTTTAAGAGGTAAAGAAATAGGAAAAATGAGAAAGAAAAACAGAGAGAGAGAGAAAGAGCTGGTTTCTACCTGGCTATTTCTGGTAACTGGATAATTTTTAAGGGATACTTTATTCATTTGAATAATCTTCAAGTATTATAACCACTGATCTTTGTGTCTCATTCCCAGAAATGCTGTTAGATCATAACATTTTAAGAAGGTTTACAGCACAAGATCACGCAGTGTCTGTCTGAGGATACATCACTAACTACATGTTATAACCAACAGTAATATTTTATGAGAAACAGGATTTTGGATAACTCACCAATTCCTGATATAGGACAGCAAGAGCAGATTGTCATATTAACTAAAGTTTCCCCTTATGTCCAAGAGGACACTAACTAGGCAGGCACTCATAGTAACAAGAGCTTCTTTCCAAGCTATTTTTAAATATTACACATCACATATTGTTTAATATATACTAGACAATCTACTAATGAAAATCATATGAAAAGACATTGGGGGCCCGACGCAGTGGCGCAGTGGTTAAGGTCCTCGCCTTGTACGCCCGGGATCCCATATGGGCACCAATTCTAATCCTGGTGGCCCCGCTTCCCATTCAGCTCCCTGCCTGTGGCCCGGGAAAGCAGTTGAGGACAGCCCAAAGCTTTGGGACCCTGCACCCGCGTGGGAGACCAGGAAGAGGCTCCTGGCTTTGGATCGGCATAGTATCGGCCCGTTGCGCTCACTTGGGAGTGAATCATCGGACGGAAGATCTTCCTCTCTGTCTCTCCTCTCGGTATATCCGCCTTTCCAATAAAAATAAAAATTAATCTTAAAAAAAAAAAAGACAGTGGGCCTCTCTAGATCCAAAACTTGGATGTATCAGCTGGTGCTGGGTGACGTGAGTCAAGTTACTTAGTATCTCCAAGAATCAGTTTCCTTATCTGTAAATTAGGTTTAACATACCTCATAGGGTTTCTGAGAGAATAAGAAGAAATAATGAATGAAAGTCAAATGAGATAATCTCACAATAATGTTCTCCACTGAACTAAAATTGGCTTTTAGGCACTGTTGCTAAAATATACCAATTTCTATAATGCAAAAAAGGAAAATATTATTCAGTAGTATACTTATGAGGAAAAACTTTTTAATAGATTTATTTATTTTTATTGGAAAGTCAGATATACAGAGAGGAGAGACAGAAACAAAGATCTTCCATCCACTGATTTACTCCTCAAGTGGCCGCAACAGCAGGAACTGTGCTGATCTGAAGCCAGGAGCCAGGAACTTCTTTCCTGGTCTCCCAGGTGGGTGCAGGGTCCCAAGGCTTTGGACCATCTTTGACTGCTTTACCAGGCCCTAAAGAGGGAGCAGGATGGGAAGTGGAGCCATTGGGATAAAAACTGGCGCCTATATGGGATCCTGCTGCATGTAAGGTGAGGACTCTAGACGCTAGGCCACTGTGCCAGGCCCAGGAAAATCTTTCAAATTAAAAAAATCCAGTCTGTTTTGATCAGGACAGTTGATGGTTACATTGCACAGAAAGCACAATTATTTTCATGAGTTATTTTCTCTTCAATGGATATTCCTCCTGCTAGACTATCTGACTGAAACAGTCCCCTGTGTTGCTGGGTTGATAATATATGCAATCTAACATGTTGGACAATAATCGCACAAAGCAAATGGGTGACTGCAAGTCTACGATGGAATTTAAAAAAAAGTTGAACTGGATGATAATTCAATTGTCAGAACAAAAGAAAAGGCCAGAAAACATTAGGGAAGAAAGTAATATATCAACTCTATAAAAATATGCCTGCTCATCTCTCACACTTAGTTTCTTGAAGAGACATAAAATTATAATCCTTGAAGAATAGTGGCTTCTCCACTTACCACTTGTTGAATTTTTATTTGGCGAACAGTTAAGTTTATTATAATAAAGAAAACTGGAAGTACATCATTTTAAAAAAATAAAAGATGATAAGGTGGGAATAAGAGAGGGAGAAACAGCATGGTGGGAAGTGTCATTATGACCTCCAGATGGTATATATGAAATACAAAAAGAATGCGCTATTGCAAAAATTAAAGAATAAAAGAAAGGAAAGAAGGCGGATGTTTTGAGGGAAGGAGGATGACCAATTTGGTTATCTTCCTAGAATGATATCTATGACACACATGAAATCTTTTATTTTTATATTAATAAAAAAGAAAAAATTGCTTAAACTATTAATCCTAACAATGCATTGGTGGTTATGTAACTGATTCAACACATAAATAAATAGCATAAAAAGGAAAGAGAAGACATAAAACTAAATAATAATGCTTCTGTGCTTCTCCTTAGTACAAATCTGAAGCAGATTCTAATATGATGAATATGATAACACCTAGGAAGCTCACTAAAAAAAAAAAGTAGCTAAAGTGGGACAGAAAAACAAAGAGGGAATGGCACTGTGGCGCACATGCCAATCCCCACCTGTAGTGCTGGCATCCATATGGGTGCCAGTTTGTGCCTTGGCTGCTACACTTCATCAAATTCTCTGCTTATGGTCTGGGAAAGCAGTGTAGGATGGCCCCAAGTCTTGGACCTCTGCACCCACACTGGAGATCTGGAAGAAGTTCCAGGCTCCCAGCTTCAGCTCAGCTCTGGTTATTGCAGCCATTTGGGGAGTAAACCAGCAGATGGAAACCTCTCTATTTTTTCTTCTCTCTCTTTGAAAAATCTGCTTTTCAAATGAAAAGAAATAAATCTTTAAAAAGACACAAAGAATGCAACATACAGAAAAGAAATAAAACACGGACAGCACAGGTATAGCATCAATAACAACATTATAACACAGAAAATCATTGACAGAGATTATTAACCTGCATTTTAAAAGTAATATGTTTGTTTCTACTAAATACTATTTACATTAAGATTTCAAATAGAAAATAAAAGGATGGAAGATGTAAAATGCAGATAGTACCCATGAGGAAGCCAAATAGCCAGACTAATAATATACAAAATAAATTTTTAAACAAGGAACTGTTTCTTGAGAAACAATAAACTGTAATGATAAATGGGTCAAAAAGGAATAGATAATAATTGTAAACATATAGGGAACTAACAACAAAGCACTAAAATGCATGCAGCAGTTTCATGTGCTTCTGGGAAACTGGAAGAATTTTGTTTGATTTCATACTTACACTGAAGTAAGAAATTTGATCACTTTAATATTACGGAATTAAAAATATGTTATTGTAACTTTGACAGCATTAGACAAAATACAAAGACTTCAATTTAGGAGAAATCTACATTCCCTTTTTGTTTTGTATTCAAAGGAAATTTAATAATCTTCATAAATGTCATATCACCCAATGAATAAGTAAATGTCCCTAAGACATAATTTTTAAAGAAAGTTTTAAATATTTTAATTTGATTTGGCATTAAAGAACTCACCAAAGACAGTCTGTGTTAACATAAAAAAAAAATACCATGGACTTTCTGAAAGGGCATCATTTCTCAGAGGTAATGAATGAGAATTACTCTGCTAAATCTTTGGAGTTTCCAAGTGGATTCTTATTCTAACATTCTCCTTTTTCAACTGTATTCTTTGAAGAGATCAAAAGTGTTAGTTGTTTGTAGTTCCCATAACTATGTTGGTGATGATTTGAGTACATTCCACATCTGCTGCTCAGCCAGCGGGGTTGGACCTTTGCAGATTCATGAAAGGAGCAAGGGCTGGTGGTTAAACATGCTTTGTGGCCACACACTGCTCCCTGCTACTGCCAGTACCAAAGCCATGTGCAGTCACACAGAAGTGAAGTCTGTCTTACACTAACATCTGGATAATTAAGGACAAACACTGCGACACTTCTGTGGCTTCTGCAAGTACATTTTAAAAGACTTTATGAGAAAACTAGCTTGAATACTATGCCTAATAAATTTCAAGAGTTCACACACTTCTAAGCTAACCTTGATCGAGCATAGTAAACCTTTAACTAACAAAAGTGCTAAACTATGAGACTGTTCCTGGTGGAACACCTGGTTCTTACAAGCAGTGGTGGTGGGGAAAGCGAGTTAGGTGCATCAGGGAGAGACTCCTATTATCAGAATGCCTGCAAGTTGAGATTTATTATGCTTCTTGAGACTAAAAAATTGAGAGGCAGAGTTAGAGACAGAGACAGAAAGATCTTCCAATCACCAGTTCACTCCTCAATCAGCAGCAAAGGCCTGGGCAGTGCCAAGCTACAGCCAGGATCCCAAAGCATCTTCTAGTTCATCCACATGGATGAAGAGGCTCAAGCAGCTGGGTCATCTTTCCTTGCCATCTCAAGTGTATTAGCAGAGGGCTGGATTGGAATTGGAGTAGCCAGAGGAGCAAGCAACAGCCATACGGGACATTGGTGTCAGGCAGTAGCTTAATTTGTTGCATTACAACTTTGGCCACCAGCACCATTTCAATGCTGCATGCCTCAAATGAGCATAAACAGTTATTCTGCAGCAAATAGTTACTCTGTAGCAAAAAAATAATTCATCATTTTATTGTGAATTATGGTATTCATTGAGCAAAAAAAAGTCCCAATGAAATAGTGAATGTGCTTTTAAATAATTCTAAAACAAATTTAACACTGAGTTTAGACTTTTATTTCCAGTAGTATGTCAAACAAACTTTGGGTTAAGTAGTTGTATCAATTATGTCTTCATCTGTCTATATCTTTCTATACTATATCTATGATGATAAAGTATACATGCTAAATTAGGTAGGACACGGAACACAGACAAGACTCAAACATTATTTTGATGCTTCTATAAAGGTATTTCATAGATTTAAACAGGATTGAAATAGTAGACTTTGATTAGAACAGATTAACATACATGTCAGTATGCTTTGTCCAATCAGTTGAAGAAAAACAAATCCCACCTCTAGACTAACCCACCTCTAGATTATGTTTGGGCTCAAACGTCAACATCAGCTCTTCTCTGGGTCTACTGCTTGCCAGCGTGCCCTGAACATTTTGGAGTTACTCCTCCCCACATGATTAGGTGAATCAGTTCCTTAAAATAATCAATCTCTACCCAGACAGACAGACAGACAGACACACACACACATACACAGTTGGTTTTGCTTTAGTGGACAGAGAGAGATTTTTACAGTACATGGATGAATTAGCAGCAAAGAGAGAAAAATCTGCAGAGACGAAGAGAAATTGAGTTCAGAAAAGGAAGCTAACATTAGAGTTTTAGCTTTCCTTGGGAAACTTTCTGACACAGTAGTATACAGCACTGGCTTTCATCTCTGATTGTAACACACTTTAAAAGAAATTAAAAAACCCTCTGACACATTTTTAAATTAACATTTAAGTGTTTCATCATTAGTTTTAAGGCTGCAAATGAAATACTTATATAACTATTAGAAACAAATTCAGGTACATATAAACTATATAAAGATATCTTAAAAACAAGCACAGTCAATGAATTCTGATTACAACAGAGATATGGCAGCATTATGTGCTTTAAAAAGACACAACATTTAATTTCAGCAGATGAACGAGTGGTTAAATGAACAATGTAAGTTAGAGAATTACTTGACCAGGTGCTTTATTAAAATGTCCAGCATCTCTCTGTTCTTCTCCGGCAATTTGTGTACCAATGCATGTACAGCTTCCACCCTGTAGTTCTGGTCATCAGATTCTGTTACAGAAAGAGGTTGCAGATACTCAGATTTTTAAATACATTCAACTATGTATCTAAGCATTAGTAATTCTATGATCATTATGATTTTCTAAGGTTAAGACAGTTGAGTATGGTTGTCATTCGGCATGGAGTTGGGACTCAGAGAAGTCAAACAAACTTAGTTCCATGAGCCTAGATATAAACTGTATTTCACCACCTGTTTGGGTCTTGCTACCCAATCACAATGTCAATTTTTAGGAAGTTAATGATCACTGCAACTGGTACAGAGTACCTACTACACGTTACTACATAGAGACCTCCCAGAGACACAACCCTACCTAAACAGAGGAAGTCATCAATTATTTCCTTATTTTTCACGAAGACAGCAGAAAGTGGCTTTATTATGCACATATAGGCCCAAAAGAGTCCAAGTTCATGCAGGCAATGGTATTTGAAAAGCTGAGAAGTTATCTAAGACTAGACAAGTCTGCAAGGCAAAAGCTAACATGTTGACATGTCTGTCAGAGAAACTTCCACCCACCTGGAATGAGAAGTCTAACATTCACTTTACAGTCAAATTCTAGGTTGCTATCCGTCATGCCAAGTCCTTTCTCAAGAAAATGCTCCAACCCACAGTACAAAATTCTGGGACCATCATGTCTTCTGGACAAAGCTACCTAATTACAGAATATGGGAACTGATGGATTCTCTTCCAAGTGGTTGAAATAAAGACACCAAACTCCGAAGAATTAATCCATCTTCTGTGAAAAGGCAGGTCATGTACAACCAAGGGAAGGGTGACTAAAAGCTCCCCAGGAAAATATGATTAGAAATGGAGGTGGGGGGGCAGTTGGAGGGAATTCCATTACCTAAAAAGCTGTATCACATAATGCAACGTAATAAATTGGAAAAAAAAAAAGAAATGGGGGTAAGACTGGGAAACAATACAGCAAAGAAATGACACGAGTGATCCTCTAGAAAATTAAAATGTAAGTTCCCAATGTAGCAATTAGCTCCTGGATACAGGCTGCTGGAAAACCTGGCCCATTTGCTTAAGGTTTTAAATATCATTTCTTTAATAAAACTGGATTCTGTTGCTTAAAAGCAAATAGACTAGTTTTATTAACATAGTATTTACTAGCTAGTAAATGGGACCATTCCTGACCAAGGCTAAAGGGATAGATATACATATATTCATATTGGATAATCAGGACGCTGACTAATAAGAGCACCATTTGCCACAGAAGCAAATGCACTGATAACCGTGACAAAAATCTTGTGTCAGAGCCACCAGTTCACCTAAATCACTTTAACTAAATTTTAGCCATTAAGACAATTATTTTAAAAGCCGCTTATTATAAAAGAAAACTTCTGTCAGAAGGATTCTAGGTCAAGAGTGAAAAAAATCAATAAAATGAGAGGACAGATGACATGATTTCTCAGGTTCTGCTCATTTTACACAAGTAGATGTCTGAGTCGGAAAGAACAGCAGAGAAAGTCAAGTAGTGTTGGTGTTTAACAGGGGATAATACAGTCTGCCATGAATACTCAAATAAAAATTAAGATCATTAAACTTTATCTGACACTTTTTATTAGCAGGCACTTCCGGCGACATTAAAATGTAAATGAACACAACCAATTTCTTTCTTGAATTGTGAAAAATACTCTTCAGGGAGCCACACCTTGTGCAACTTAACCATGAAATGCCAACTCCTAATTGTTACACATTGTGGACATGGACTCTGATAGCAATCTGGTTTGTTGGTCTCAAGGGTTTGAAAGTATATTTTATGTAGGAGGGCATGGGGAGGGGTTGGGGGAATCCCAGAGCCTATGAAACTGTGTCACATAATGCAACGTAATTAATTAATAAAAATAAATAAATAAATAAAAGAAAGTACATTTTACTAACTTGTCAGGTTATATACGTCTCACTGGCCTGCAAACCCATATACTCCAATTCTTTGATTAAATGTATCTCTTCATATCATATTGTGGCAGTCAGACAACTAAACAGATTTTATAAATATGTGATCATTGTAAGCCTAACATGAGGGAAAAGTGATGGCTGTAAGCACTTTCCAAAATATGTGACTCCTCTCTCCACATAGTAGCATAACCAACACTTGCATATTTGTAGTCTCGTTCACTCCCACACAACGTTGCTGTTGTAAGAAACTGCTCTTCATCACCTAAGTAAAATACCATGTCAATAATTCCTCACAACTCTTTCTAATTACATCAAACTGTCACCACAATGAGAGCTATTAAATGACAAAATATTTAACTGATGTCACAACTTCCTTTGGCTTACAAATCATATTGTAAGCTGTTAAGCATCACATTGATGATTCTATATTAAGTATTATGACAAAAATGTCAATGAAGTAATGTGAATTTTAATTTCTATGCAGTTCACAGCCCAACTGGAACAATTACAAGTATCTGGTGAAAGTGTACTTACTAACAGCAACAATAAAATCTTTGTGTAACTTGTATGTCATCAGTGGTTCTGCCAGACACCTGTAACAGAAAGGTAAAACATCTTGTTTACTTTTAGGTCCCCTGTAACTTTTTTGTTAAAGAACTTGGTCCTTATTCATCAAGTAAACATTAAAAAGCAATGGGCTAATGTTGTGGCTTTTAGGTTAAATAGCTGCCTGCAAAGGGTTTGAGATCTGGCTGCTCTGCTTCCAATCCAGCTTCCTGTAATGGCCTAGGAGGGCGCTGGATGATGGGTGGAGCCCTTGGGTTACGGCACCCTTGTGAGATTCCTGGAAGAAGCACCTGGCTTTGGCCTGGCCCAACCACAGCCAATGTGATCATGTGCAGAGTGAACTAGTGGACGGAAGATCTCTCTCCAGATCTTTCTCCCTCTCTTGCTGTAACTCTCTGTCATTCAAATACATAGAATTCTTTTAAAATAATAATACAAAATGAAGTGAAAGAAACAAATAAAATAATGCGGTGATTAGGTAGTATGACAGAGTATTAGCAAGAGGGTTCCAGGTATTCCCAGGATGCAGAAATCAAAGATGACAGTCCCATGTTGCTCCTTGTCACCAATGAATGAAAAAGGAAACTGTTTTTTTCCACTTTGTGAGAGCTACATTCAGTAAGGAATCCTCTTTCAGATGGCACAGGTGGCAGTACTGAAAACAAAACCTCTGAAACAAAACAACTTTCCATTTCACTCTGTACTTTCAAAAAATACATAAAATTTGACACACTAATTTCACATGAAACAAATGCTTTCACTCAGCAGTTATGAAATGTTACAATCTTTTCAATTACTATTGGAAAAATCAAGAACAAGTTAGAGAAATACATTTTATTGTTATTATTCTGTGCCACAGCACTTCCTGGGCTAAGAAGCAAAGCTTATTGCACATACTCATGAAAGCCATGGCTAGTGCCTGGAAAAGTAACTGAGCCTTCATATCCAGAAGATCAGTAGTGAAATTTTCCTCACCTGAGGTAGTTTTTCAGCCCACTTGTTATCGTCTTATTGTCCCACAATTCAATATCGATGTCAACATCTGGAGGTGATTTTGGAGCTGTAAAGAATAAACAAAAGGTTTAAACATGTAATTCAGAATACCATTGGTAGCCTTATGAAAATGAATGAGAAACTAAATAGCACAAAAGAAGAGGCATCCCTTTCTTAGGATTCACTTTGGGATTGTTGCTTCTGTAAGCTTTGGGGAAACTCGCTCTGATATAAAACCTTAAGGATATTTGGAGGAATACACATTCTCCTCAATCAAATTGTTGACAGACTGCTGAACTTGTTCTTAGCATACTTCTAAGTTCTCTATAAGGATGAACATATTTCATCCATACAGCTCTCAAGAAGCAGCTGCCATCATTATCCTCCTTTAAGAAATGAGGAACTTGGTCCTGGCGCAGTGGCCTAGTGGCTAAAGTCCTCGCCTTGAATGTGCCAGGATCCTATATGGGTGCCCATTCTAATCTTGGCAGCTCCACTTCCCATCCAGCTCCCTGCTTGTGGCCTGGGAAGCCAGTTGAGGATGGCCCAATGCCTTGGGATCCTGCATCCGCATGGGAGACCTAGAGGAGGTTCCTGGTTCTTGGCTTGGGATTGGCACAGCACCTGCCATTGAGGTCACTTGGGGAGTAAATCATCAGATGGAAGATCTTCCTCTCTGTCTCTTCTCCTTTCTATAAATCTGACTTTGCAATAAAAATAAATAAATCTTTAAAAAAGAAATGAGGAGCTAAGATACAGAGAAGTTGAGCAAATTACTAAAAATCACAGGGCTTTCAAGAGGCTGAGCTGGGATTCTGAGTCATGCAATATAACTCAGTATCAGTTGCATCTTATTCTCTCTCTAGATCTTTCCATGACACCTAAGAAAAAGTCCCAAAATGTCTCCTGAAATTCTGATTATTCATTTATTAAAACTGAGCATTAAAAACAAAACAGATACATTAGTTCAAATGTGAAGTAACAGCCTACAGCTTGAAAAAAGTCTTAAACAATTCTGTATTTTGGGTTAATAATATAAAAATTAAGTCACTTGCTTGACACAATACTTACAAAACGTGGTGTTCATGAGTTTCTGAACTTTGGAGTTCACGCCTCCTATGCGATAGAGGCCTAAAACTGTGATGCCTATTGGGAAGAAAGACAGCAAGTAAATGGCTTGAGGGACTTCCCAGGGACAGACTGTACGATTCTCAACCATAGCTCCCGTAGAATGTGAAAAATACTTATCTAATTTTGTAGTCTAACCTTAGGAAACATACCCTGGAAACACCTATCAGAGCAGACAGTGAAGAGGGATTTGAAAGTCTTTGAAGATCTTGAAAGCAGCAACCCATCCCTGCCTCTTCACCATTATTTGAACATAAAAAGCATCAAAGATGAGAAGGCATGATCAGTGCTCCTCATCTTCCATTTTTCGAGTCCCGCATGGTGAACAGTCGGCATTTCCTTCTTCATTTTAAAGGTAAAGGCACAGATTCAAGGAATCTAAGCAATGCATATAACTTCACAAAATGAAGTGACAGACCAAAATTCCAGTCTAAGTACATGGAACTTTAATAGCGCAACAGCAGCTTTGTTTGAAACAAATTTTCTTGGATGCAACAGAGCCTAACCTTGAACTGGAGTTAGCTCTAAGAGAGGTCAGTAATACAGAGAGGAGAGGTGCTGGCAGTGGGGCGAAGATGAAATCACTAATGAGAAGACGACAAGGAAGGAAGGGGATTTGCGACAAATTCCATAGGAACCTTACTCCCAGTGCTTGGAGACACTTAAAAAGATGCTTACAATAGCACACACAGTCACCCACAAAAAGTTAAGTGGGTCTATATTATAAAAAAATCAGAAAAAGCAAAGCATGAGTTTTGATAAACCAAAATTCAGGTTAGTTGCTCGTATATTTATGTAACATACATTTTTGTATCATTCTTAAGATTAATTTCATGCTAACGACTAAACACATCTTTATTTTCTATGCTGGAAGGTTTCTATGTAGAGATGGCACACAGAGGTGTAACGATACACCTGTCAGGTAATGCTTACCTCTGGACTCCACAGCCTGAATGCACTTTCTCACAAAGTTGAACCCTGCTTCATTTAAGTACACTGAAAACAAGAGAAAAATCACTTCGCTTATGTTGAAATTCAATTCCTTCTTTATTGGGCTCGGTTTACATGGCTTTCATGACTTAGAAGCATGTCGGTCGATACTGAACTCACCATACACTGTGGTTAGAGGGCTGACTTTTTAAATTTTAAAATAGAAACTCACTCAGAAGAAAAGCTTAACATTTAAAAAACTATGCTATACATTTAGTACATATGCTAAAGATACAATTAAAAATATTCTCTAATATTACTGTATTAAAATAATTCAAACAAATAAAATTTAATTCTGCCTGTCATCCAAGAACAGTAAAGCTGGAGGTTTAGCAGGTTTAGCAGATGCCTCCTAGGAGAGCGATAATTGAAAGTTCCTCTTTCCAGCTGTCACACACCCAGGAAACAGCAGGCAATGATGGAAGTAGTTTGCCTCCTAGCATTGACTTTCGTTAGTCCCATTGGTAGAGGGGAATGAAACAGCATTCACCCACTCTCTCCTTCTCTCTGCCTTTTAATCAAATAAAGCAAATACATCTAAATGACAGACTGAGCACATTCACTTAATTCATATAGGTTCACAAAAATAATCCATAAGAATTATGAGTAACAAAAATGAAAAAAAAAAAAAGGTTTGAAAAATCCTAGACATAGGAAACTGGTGAAACTCAACCGATGGATAGAAACATCTTTAAAAAAAATGCGGCCCCAAAACTTGAGGAACTGACATGGAAGGATGTTTATTGCATGTAGGTAAGTGAAAAATTAATCTATGAAAAATATGCCCCGTTTTCTGAACTGTAAAAATGTAAGGGTATGCCTTTATTTTTCTATGAAAAAAGTCCAACAAAGATCAGTCCCACTGTGGATGAGAAGGACATGGTCAGGAGGCAGACCCTATCAATTGTACTCACCACAGTTTAATTATACAAACAAGTATTAGCTGTATATGTACATATATTTATTAGACAGTACACATATACATGGAGAGAGACAGAGAGAGAGGAAACTAAAAAAAAAAAAATCTACAAGTCAAGTGTTAAAACTCAAATAGGCTTTGCCATAATCAGGAAATGAGTCATTTCTTTGTCCCCAGTGCCCAGGTCCAAAGAACAGAAATCAGTGAATGAGATGAGTGTTCTCAACAGGCCAGACGAATGGGCTTTAAATGAACATCTCCTTGGAGCACACTGGATGACCTACCTGAGATTGGAGTTCTTTTTAGACAATAAGAAGGAACTGCTGCTTCCATTAACCCAAAAAGCAGAGCATAAGATCACACATTTCAAAATGTAGAAATACTTATTTAAAGTGGAAAATGGGAGGGATCATTTATGAATGTTCAGTTTTAACAACAGCAAAAATAGAGAAAAATGTAACCCTAGGTAAAAACGAGACGCTAAAAATTTTGTACCAATTAAAACTTCAAGTTCCTGATATTTCAAATATTTGGCGTTAGAAGTTACATTGTTTTTAGTAAAATAAATTCATTAAGAAGAGGAACAACAGTTAAAAAAAGTATTTCTATACAGCTTACTTTGGCACAATGAATGGAAATAATTATACTATACAAACAGTTCTGTTTTCTGTGCTATTTATTTTGAGAAAAACAAGAAATATCAAGATTGTATCTCAAAGGTATATGGGAATGTGAGCAGAGATGCAGAAGAAGCTACTGGCTTCTGGTTTTAGTCTTAACCCATTTTTTCACAACACCTGCTCTCAGTGAGCCCATTTTTCAATAAGATAGTACTCGAGTACTAGCTTAGATCTAGGTTTCACCGACTATAACCTGGTTAATACTGATGATAGATATAACTATTCTCAATTAATTAATTCCCAAAGTCTTATGAATTTCAACAATATATTGTAGCATATTTGGCAACTGTATCTGTGGATTCAATATGCTGTAAGTGACCAATACTTTTTCCTTAACGCTTTTTTATAAGGTTGATTAAAGTTTCCTTTTTCCATTGAATTATGAAAGTCTCATTTATAGTATCTGTGCCCTGATAATTATAAGAATAACTGCAAGGTTGGGAGACTTCTTCATGTTAAGCTTGGAAAGGATCTCATGTTAGACACTTTAATGCATGATATTCTCAGAGCATTTACAATGTAGCCTTAGTTTAGGATACTAGATGGTTCCCGGAGTTTTCAGTAAAGACATAGGCATTATGACTGCTTGTAAGGATTATTATTCAAAGCTAAGTTTTATTTCCCATATTAGACTTCATCATTATTTTTTGCAATTAAAAAACTCAAAGGTCAGAGCTATAGCACAGTGAGTAAAGCCCACTGCCTACAGTGGCAGAATTTCCTTTGGGCCAGGTACAAGTCCTAGTTGTACTACTTCCAAATCAACTCTTTGCTAGTACATTTGGGAAAGAAGCCGGAGATGGATCAAGTCCTCGGGAACCTGCATCCAGTTGTGAGATAAAGAAACCTCAGGCTTCTGGCTTTGGGCTTGAGCAATCTCTGTTGTTGTGGCCTTTTGGGGAGCAAACCAGTGGATGCAAGCTCTCTCTTTCTCCTTCTCTAATTCTGTTTATTTTGTTTATTTCAAATAAACAAATACATCTTACCAAAAAAACCCTACAACTATAAATTATGCAAAACTGAGTTTCCAGAAGATAACTAGAGTATTTTAGGATGAACAGAATTCATCTGAATTATGTAGTCTATAAGAGAGCACCTCTCACTTCGCAAGTTAATTGAAGCTGGTGTTGGTTTCTAACACCAATTTTGAGGAAGGTTAAATTTTTATTTTATTACAATACCACTTCTTGGGGGTCACCAAATGCCAAATATAAAGAAGTACAACATACAAAAATCAGGAGAATATATATAAAAGTGGTGGGTTGGGAAGCATGTGGCCATAAACAGTTGTCCACGCATAGCACACTGGGCTCACATGACTTACTCAATAGTGTTCTGTGTGGAGTTCAAGATAATACTTGGGATGTCCATTCCCCATAGCAGAGTAAGCACGTTCGTGTTCTAACTCTACTTCTGAATCCAGCTTGCAGCTCGCATGCACGCTGCGGACATCAGGCAATGACTCAGCATGCGTTCCCCACCACCCATGCAGGAGACTCAGAGGGAGTTCTCCCAACTTCAGTCCTTCTCTACCCCTGATGCCGTGGGCCTTTGGAGGCAAGTGTTCAGACAGCAGAAAAAAATGTTCTATGTCTGTCTGCCCCTGCCTTTCAAAAAAAATTAATTTTAAAAGAATTAAGTCCAAGGGCCTTATTAATCAGTAAAATTAATTTTGAACTTAAACTTTCAAAAGCATGGAAAAAATCTTAAACAAATCCAAAATCCAAAATAAAAGATGATAAAAAGGCAGTAAATTATTAAGGAGAGCATACAGTACGATATGAAAAACACAAACATGTGTCTGCAAAGATACTGATGATTCAGTCACAGTACAAAGAGAATGTTTCCTCCACATTCTAGGAGAGATATCTCCCAAAACCAGCAGAAAAATTTTATTTCTTTAATCTTCTACTTCTCAAAAAACTAAAGAGGTGAAATAACACACTGGATTTCCATCCTGCCTGTAACAAAATCTGAGAATAAATTACCTCCAATCTCTATCAAGTATGGGGCATGACCATAAGCAAACAAATAATGAAGAAACAAAGCTACTTTTGGTTACCGTAACACCACGAGTTCACAGTTGTCGCATCAGAAACTTACTTGATTGCATCTTTACTGGTCCGTCACCTCCACGGTATGTTAGTGCCATTATACCTAAGTCAATTCTTAATAACACAAACTGCTTTGTGATAAAATTATATAATTTTATGTAATTATTAAAATGACTTACTTTCTTCCTTCTTGCTAATAATGGCAGGCAGGGTATAAATCTAAGGAAAACAAAGGATGGCAATGAGTTACTTGCAGTTAATGACCCAGTACAGAAAACTGGCAAGGTGATGCTTGTGCCTTGACTTCATGGTGCTGTGGACACTTCAAGGTCCTGAGTCCACATTGCTGTGTCCACAACACCATCCATCTACAACGTCAACTGACCATTTCCTGTATTGCAACCAGCCCTGTCCCCACTATTTCTCTCCATCTCTGGCTGTTCTATGCTGGCCAGAGTTGTACCCCTTTCTGTCTGAACCAGGTGACTCATTCTCTTCCCCAACATGAGTCATAATACATCTTCTTCAGGAAGTGGTTCACAATAGATTTCACCAGGTTGCTCCTTGCTTAAATTATCTGCCTAACATTTTGTTCTCAAAGTGCACAATACTAACTTGTGTGCACTGCTAAGCAGACAAATTGTGCCCTTGATTTGCACTGGATCAGGGCTTTTCAACAATTCATGTCAAAGAGCCAATTTTTTTGCTCAATCTATCATTGAATGACATTTTGTAAATGATGAGGCATCTTCACAAGGTTCATGGAATGCAGCCACTCTCTTTTAATGTCATTTTTCCATGAACCATCTGAAACAATCTTGTATGACAAAACTGAATAGAAAACCATGGAGAGTAGATGCAGAGCCCCAATATGCTGTTAACTCTCACAAGAATTTAAAGAACTTTTTCAGATAGCTAGAGAGTTTTCTAAAGGCTTCATCACAATTTCTGAACTTAGGTCAGGCGGAAAGTTAATTCATTGAGAGAGTCCCTCAACATGCACAACCTTTGCTTGTGTAACACTGCTGTTGTGTGAGTACTTTGCTCAAAGTACTTTGTCATCTATAGGAAGCATCTCAAGTGACTCCTCTTGGTGTTCACTTCTCCCACCTGCTGATCTACTAACACTGTGCACTGAAGAAACAAGTAGTGAAGAAGGGTTTTCCAAATTTTTTACCTAAGCCCCCTGATGCTTCTAGGGAAATTAACACATAATATCAAAGTAATTATGAGAAAATTGGGGACATGCATGGTGTTGAACACGTCAAGCCACAGGCAGTTCTGTCAACTCAGACTTTTGGAAAAGGGTACAGACTGGATGCTTAGCCCTCAGTCTGAACCTTTTTTTTTTTTTTTTTAAATCAGGGATGAAAACGCCACTGTAGGCTTTGCAGAGATGGGACACACAGTAATTATTCATCGAGTAAGACAGCCTAATGACTGCAGCCATATTAATGATGATCAGTCATTTTTTAAAAGGTAATTTTAGAGGTTTAAATTAGTCCTGGAAGTCGCCCAAAGAAACAAATTAGGAAGCTGGAGAGATTTGCCAATGACGGAGATAATGAAAGGAAGGCAAGAATAGTTCCTACTCCTCTGATATGCTATTTTAATGTTCAATGCTGCTGCAGACACATGAGAAAAAAATTCAGATGTACTTAAAAATTATTAGAACAATAAAATTTAAATTACAGAATGTGATATCTTCTTACCGGTTCTTTGCCATCCATGGCTTCAAGCCAGAGTTTTCTGTTAGCTTCTGAGAAGGCCTGTAATGTGATGATCCCATGCCTATGAACAATAAACATTTTACATAAGAGCATGTGTAAAACACATACATACATATGGACAGTGATGTGGTTCCCATGTGCATCTGACTCCAGGGAAGTAAGGCAAGCAGTCTTCAGAAGACCACAGAAGGCTGACCTGGGAGTCAGGTTCCCAAATTGTGATATAATCTGAAGTCAAAAGACATGCATTTTTTTTTTCTGAAACAGGTATTTATATTGATTTTGCAGATTCTTCTTCAAGTCATGTTACTTTTTGCCAGCGTTTTGCATTCAGTCTTTATGAAAGTATCATGTAATTAAATATTTGTGAGAATGAAATAAACAAGAGTACTATTTCATAAAAGAATAAAACTACAAATATATTCTGTCTTATTTGTATGTAAGCAATAAAGAAATAAATATTTTAACTTATCCAAAACAGAAATAAAAAAAGAAATGCTCAAACCTTTCAACTACTTCTATGTCAAAGCAGAATCGTTTGTCAATTGAGTCCGTCTTTCGTCGGATACACGATTTTAATTTAAACATTTCTGGTGAACTAGTAACAAGACCGTTCTGAAATAAGAAGGGTACCACATTATTAACAGGATCACAAAGTAAATCAAAATATATTAGCATGATCTAAAGTTGCCTCCCTAATATGTTCATTTTGTAGATTATGAATTAAAGTCATAATTATACCCTGTCATTCTGTCATCTAATGAAAGCTGTCCAACTAGAATATATCAAGCCATTTATTAATAAATGAACTGCATAAATGTTTTATTTCACAGAATTTTGTGACGTACGTGATTGGCACCTTTCAACATTATTTATCTTTAATGTTAAATTATCCAGTACTGTAGATTCCCTTAGGGCTTCAGAGTTGGAAAAGTTAGGAAACTATTCAGTTAGTGCAATATCACAATGAAAACACTTGTTTGAACACAACACTATGGCTCCAACGATTCTCCGGATTGCTAAAGGCTTAGCAAAAGGGAATCTGTATTACAATCATGATACTGAACTCAAAGTTACAGGAGAGCTTCCGAATTAAAAAAGTTCTTGTGCATTCTGTATATGATGCCACTGCTATCATACATACTGTAAGACAGCTTTGCTGATAACCAACCGCTACTTGTACTCTGTTACAAAAACTGAAACTTTTGGGAAATAATCCAGCATAGGCTCAATTTTTTCTAACAATTCTTGTCTATACCTGAGATGCCTGTTTTAAGGGGGGAGTCTTGCCACTTTCTTGGTATCTTTGGTTACAAATTTCACAGACTTACAAATAGAACTTTGGCTTAGTCTATTTACTAGCACAGTATCACATAAATTCTATTTCTGATTTATCTACTATGGAGAGCAGGCATTCTGTGTGTTTATGGAACTTGGCACCTCCTTATGATGTAACAACGTAAGGTGTCTTTTTTTTTCTCCTTTATTTTTTGTCAGTTTGAATCATTAGACTCTGATGAATGCCCAAGCATAATAAGTTGCAGCTGACACATCTGAGAATGTGTCCAAGTTAAATCAGCATTTACTTCTGCCATGATATTCACTACAAATTAATTACATGAGTCACTTACTTCCTACCAACTTACTTGCTGATCTGTTAAAATAGGGAACTAAATTATATTTAGAATAGCTAACTCCAAAATTCTTAGACCATGGCTCAATGACTCAATTCACAAATTCAACCACTTGCAATATTCCTATCTTAATTTGCCAAATGGTTATATATTACATGCAATAAAGCTCTCTCCAGCATCTCTTCATATAAAATCCACTCTGCTCTATATATTGTTCACTGGCCACGTGAGGCATTCAATGACCAATTTACTTTTGGGACAAATGTGTATCGATTAGTTTCTTCGAACAAGTCTTGCTGGCCAGCATTCTGATATCCAATTCAGAGTGTAGCAGAGAGAAGGCCATGTAGTTTCACACAGAGGCCACATGAGCAAAAGAGACAAGATCTCTGAGCCCGATCCAGCCCTTGACAGCCCCTCCCTGGGCTGCCAGCCAGCCAACAGCACAGACAACTAACTATGCTGCCAAGAAGGAAAGATGACACCTCAGCAATCTATGAGAAGACCTCTATATTTAACTCCATTGCTTAGAAACAATTCAGGGCTGACTTAAAGGAAAATCCTGGCTAATTTTTTTTTATTGAAGACATCAAGGCTAATCAATCAGAAAACCATTTTGACTTTCGACTATAAATGTGTACACATTGTCAGAAAAAGAACACTTTGAAATTCTGCTATATTTCTATTATATAAGCAAACAGTTTGAAACAAACCTAAATAAAATTAGCTCACCATTTTCCCACTGGATTTCATTTCTGAAACACTCATTGTAAAAGTTTTACTTCCTTTATCATATGTACAATAATGTTTAATCCATGTAAAACCAAGTGGTCCTAAAATGAACAAAAACATTTCAGATTTTGTTAAAAATGATTGGAACACAGATTTGTATATTGACATATAACTGCGTATCTCCACTTTCCATGCTAGGACATTACTGTGAATTCTAGAAAGGCTACAATGAAGGGAGAGTTGTACATGTACAATATTTTACAATTTAAAAAAAAACCCCTACAATTACTTGCAGTACTTTTCATACCCTGGCTATGTGAAATTCTAGTTTCCTTTGGGTTTGAACTTCAGCTATCTCACTAGCAAAGTGGTTTACAAGGGTAACTGGCCCATGAATTAAAATCTTTGTTCTGTTCTTGTGGATTAGCCAGCTGTAAATTGAAACAAAAGAAAAAAAGAAACTATCTATACTGAATATGTACAGGATTTTCTTGTCATAATTCTCGAAGCAAGGAAGAAAACAACTATTTATATTAACATCTACAGTGCAATAGGCATTATAAGTAATCTAGAGATGACTTAAAGTATATGGGAAGATACATGTGGACTATATGCAAAAACTACTGTTTTACGTAAGCGACTTGAGCATCATGGATCTGTAGATCCATAAAAAGTCCTGGAACCAACCCTCATCAGATCCTGAAGGCCGACTGTAGCCCTCAAACGAAAAATGAGAAATAACAGTCTGAGTTACTTAAATGATTTTCTTAGGGCTACCCTTGTTCTCTTGTCTTATAACATCACGCTAAAGAGTCAGGTAACTTCACTCCTTTATTCAATATCTTCTGTTGGCCTCTTTCCTCACTGCAGATAAAAACCGAGTCCTACATTACTCACAGGACCTATGCCGGTTTGTCCCTCTTTCCTGTTCTCACTTCACAACCAAGTGCTGCTGTATTGTACACTCTCTGTAGCTCCCTTGGCTCCCTGACTGGTCCTGGGACAACCAATGCGTTCCTGCCCAGTATCCTTACACTTGCTGTTCACCTTAGCCTAGGCTACTTTTTCACAGATATCTGTGTGACTGGAACTGATATGTCTTTCAGGTCTTTTTTTTTCCATATAAAAAATTAATAATAACCTTCATAATGTGGCCTTTCCAGGGGGAGATACCTAACACAGCACCCTCATCTTGATGTGTTTTCTCTTTGCTTTCCTTTGTTTCTTCTTAGCTGCTATATTCTATGAAAGGAAGAACATGTGACATTTAAGAATATGCTTAATTCCTGGGACAGAACCAGGCATAGCGGCTGCTTGATGAATACTTCAGATGAACAAAGGAATGAATTCCTCATTTTGCTGTAAGGCTTTATCAATACTGGATCTATTTCCTCTTATCACTAAGCAGAAAAAGCATAATTAAGTTGCTTCTTAAAATAATGTCTACTATTAAAAAGAAACTTGATATATGCATACACATCTCCTTTTTCCCTTAATTCTTACACACACTCCTTCTCCATAGCACCCCATGTTAACATCCAGTATTTTCTTTAAGAGACTGGATGTGGCTACTTCACCAGGGATTCAGATGGGTTGTTAGCCAAAGCTTCCATGACCAGGGCAGAAGACTTTCTGTATTTCCACAAAAAAGCCAAGCATCTTGTGCGTATATACCGCAGTAGACTGAGTAGGTTGAAAATGCAGCTTATTTTCTATTTAGCTCCTCAACCCAGGGACCAATTCTGTTAATTCTCTATTTTCTTAGTAATAACCACACACAATGTTATTGCTGGCTTGATTTCAGATTTTCTCTGTAAAAGCAAGAAACTGAAATGTAAAAGAGTACTTCTTGAGAAAGCGTGCTATAATCCATTGGGATGTCTTTTCCTTAATAATAGTGTTCTTGGTGTCAGGTTTATGTTTAATACTCAAGGCACTGAATATTTTAAAATTACAGGGTACAGTCACACACTTTGTAATCACAAAGGATTACTGCAATTAAGTTCAATCCCATTTTGGAACTATTTCACATTAAAATGCTTAACAATACTTGTTGATAATCATGTTAGATATGGTGTAAAATACTTAAAGGCTCAGAGTTAAATAGCAGAGAGTAGTTGGATGGAAATGCTTAGCGAATTTACTACTTAGGTAGTGATTTATATAGCAGTATTAGCAATCATTTTTTAAAATGATCGCTGTAAGCTATGTTGCTATAAAGCTGCTACAAGGCTCTGATGAGATATCAGATCTCAGATATTTGTATCATGCCTCTAAGTTCAGCATCTCCTGCATCTAATCTTGTAGTTTGTCTCACACACACACACACACAAACACACACACACACACACACACACACACACACACACACACTCACACTTTCTTTAAAGTTGTCCGACACTGTGCCATGGCAGATGTTCCTAAATGAGCAAATTTAAAGTCACTAAAAGTGTCTAAGTAAACAGAACTTTATAACTGCAGTAAAGTTAGAAAATAAGTATATTTCATGCAGTAATCGTCTGAGGTTCTCAAAGAAGCCTTTAAGTCAGACAATATAAAGACCATTTTACGCATAAGCAAAGTGAGCCTACAAGCTCCAGATGGCAACAGTGTCTTCCATAGGATGTGTGACTGAAATTGTCCTTTACAGAGGGATGAGATTGTTTTATGAATCAAGAGATAATTACAAAATGCAAAGGATATTTAAAGAAGGCAGTATGTGTATCATTATTGTTGTTGTTAACAACAGCAATGAAAGTGGAGCCGTTCTGCATACATTATCTTTAATAAACTGTATCATCATTATGTACAAATCCCTGTCTTCTAAAGATAAAAAAAAAGTTGAATTCATAAAATTGTAAAGGTTACACAGTTAATAGGCAATGGATAAGCAATTTCAACTCAGTTCTGTCTGACTTTGGGATACACAACCTTACTGATACACTAAAGTTTACCTGAATGTGATTTAATGCATGCCCTGAGGTTGGCAACACTGGGAATAAAACAACCTCATGAAGATAAGTGGAATTCCATGTTGAACTGGAATGATCAGCTTCTATCCTATCACATTAATATAAACTTATCACTCAACTTACAGCTGTGTATTTACCATTGATCACTGGTTACTAATTGCATGTATTTGTCTTATCCCTTCAACTACAGAATAAAAACCCTGAAGTCAGTTTTTTAAATCTCGTTCTTTGTCCCCCACAGAACTTACTCATTCAGTGACAGTACATGATAACAATCAATACATCTCACTGGTTGTATTTTCTTGTGAATGGCTTCACAAAAGTTCACATCAGAAGGAACTTTGACTATTTTCCCCTCATACAATAATCCCAAAGTACAATAAACCCCAAAATTCTCTTTTGAAGTCCATTAAAAAGGGATCTCTGGAATAGGGTGAGTGAAAAAGGTAGCAGGGAGGGAATGTAATGGGCAAAGGTGATGAGTGTATCAATACATCGGATCAGAGTTGTGGTTGCAAAGTTGCCAGTTCAACGTCTGGCTGTCTGCTGCTCTCTCGGCTCCTTACTACTCAGTCTGGGAAGGCAGTAGATGGCGGCTCAAGTGTCCGGGCCCCTGCCATGCAAGAGGACAACTGGATGCAGGTGTCAACCTGATCCGTCACTGCCTATTGCAGCAAGTTGTGTAGTGAAGCAGCAGATGGAAGACTGCTTTCTGCCTCCCTCTGTCTCCTCACTTTCAAACAAAATATAAAATAAGTCTTAAAAAAGATGGTCTGGGGCTGGCCTTGCAGCACAGTAAATTAAGTCATTGTCAGTGATACTGGCATCCCTTAAGAGTGCCAGTTGCAGCTACTTCAGATCCAGCTCCCTGATTATGTGCCTGGGAAAACAGCAGCAAATTGCCCAAGTACCTGGACCCTAGCTACCAACAAGGCAGACTGGGGCATAGCTGCTAGTTTCTGGCTGCAGCCTGGTCCACACTCAGCCATTGTATCCATTTGGAGAGTGGACCAGCATGTAACATTAGTCAAAATTTCCCTCTCTTTAAGTCAAGTACATTGAAAAAAGAGTGGGATGTTAATATAAAAGAGAAGTAAAATCCAGCTGTGAGAACCTCCGGTAGGTATCAGGCACTGCAAGTGGGCCATCACAGTTAGGGCCAAGCACACAAGTGTTTCAGAAGGATCTGGGAAAGCACGGAGTATAGCGTGGAGGGTAGAAAATTTCTGAGTGCAAGTGGGAAGCTAGAGAAATTTTGCAAAAGTCTGGCCTGAGCAAAGGTGGTGGATATGAAGAAATGGTGTGAAGCCAAAGGATATTAAGGAGACCGAAAGGTCAGACTTGGCTCCACATTACAGAGAGCAGAGTTAAGATATCTTGAGTTTTATAATCTCACTAAGCAATGCTTTTGCTAAGAGAATAAAATCCTCAGAGGAAATGTCAATGCCCCAAGTGGTCTGATGATCAGCTCTGGATGAGCCTGAGGAGAAGGTGGGCATCATGTAATAAATCATACCAACATCAAGATAGTGCATAGAACACTGCACTTCTAATTATGTTACCCCAAGTTTTAAAGAGCCTGTGCTTATAGACTGTCTGACTCAAGTGTCCAATGGCATGGAACTGGATAAGAAAAACAATGTATAATTTAGTGGATGGAATACAAATAGCAGCTGTCCTCACTGTCAACAAGCTCTTCAATTTGCACTTCTGATCATGGAGCTTGAGCCACCAGCAGCTTCCTTCCACTGGCACAGCCATAGCTTGGCTCTCTTCTGCAGGCTCCGGGGCCTGGGGACTCACGCCAGGTGCTTGGAGTGGACCTGGGGAATCAGGCACATGTTTGAGTCCCATAGGTGGGCTAGGAGGGAGGAGGGAAAGGCTCCATGTCAGTGTGGTATACTTGAGGATGAGGCCTCAGATTCTTACACACACTTGGGTCCCGGGCAGGTGGAAGGAAAAGGTCCCAGCTAACACATGTGCCACAGGACTGGGTCTAGGGACCTGTGCATGAACTTGGATCCTTGGTTGGGGGACAGAGCTCCGGACCAGGATGGTGTTTCACCAAAGACCAGGCTCAGAAAGTCCAAGCTAAGAAACCCATGTGCTCCCAGGCACAGTGACTGCGG